GTTTATGATGTGTTTGATATCAAAAATAAATAAATGAAATTCATTTTTGGTCTGTTTGGTTTGCAAAAATGACCTTTTATTAAAAAATAGTATTTTTCGTAAAAAAATATTTTTTCCAAAAATATTTTTTTTGGTTTAAAAAATGTTATAAAACTTTTTATGAAAAGTTGAACTCCCTATTTGTAGCCTATACATTTTTTCTTTTCTTAATCAATATCTTAAATTTTTTTTTTTTATTCTTGTCGACCATTTTTCATAATTTGAAATTCATTAAAAACTCTCAAAATATCAACAAAATCATAGTGCAAATAGAGAGTTTAACAAAAAAAAAAAATCAAGGTGTAAATAAAGGGTTCGACCGGTAATTTTTTAGTTTTTCATAGGTTTTAATTAGTAAAAGATATTGACCATGACAAAAATCAGTTTAGGGGTTTGATCGGAAAAAAAAAATGTATAGTGCAAATAAGGGATTTTGGCCTTTATGAAAAATATTTTTCACTTTTGCTTGCAATGGAAGATTTTCTGCTAATTCAAACTCCATGTTTACAATTGGATGGATTTCTAAGAAAGTGGAAAGACCATATTTACAAGTAAAATTTCTTATTTTACAGTTTAAACTATAAAACAGGAACTATTGAATAAAGAAGAATCCAGGCTCTCATTCAAATGTCCATGTTTTGCAACATGGTATAGTTTAGATCCTAAAATAATTTTTTATTTACAATATATTTACACAACACTTAAAAGGTCAACCATGCAATTGCACCAATATATTTCCACCTATTTTCACAAATCAATTAAAAGGCCCCATGTGACTCATTTATTTTGAATTGCCACATGTCATTCATATTGACAAATATTTTGTTTGTTGATTAAATCATTTAATTGATGATTTAAAGATAACAGAGACTAAACTAAGGGATTTCAACATATTAAGTTTTGAAGGAATCGAAGCATATACACGTGTTGCTACTAGCAATTGTTATGTGGCAATCTTGTCAACCAAAGTTCAATTGGAAAATCCTAATTTTTCTAGATTCAATCTAGATAGTTGTTGCAACAACTTCAGCAAATTAGTTAGTCTGTTTCAAATTTCATGGATGCTATTGCAAATTTTAACGTGCTATTGCAGATCTCTTGCGTGCTGCCAATGACATTTGGTATTATAGATATACGAAGATGAAGTCAAGCAAAGCAATCCAGCCACTCTCACAACAATCCAGCGTTATTTTCTCTTTCAATGCTCAAGCGCATTGTAGTCTTCAAGCTTCAATCGTTTAGTCTTGGCTCTACTTTTCCTTACAGGCTCCATAAAGGCTTGCCCCTCTCAAATTAGCCCTACACCATCTACATTTCATTTTTCACAAAGCTTTCGTAGTTAATGTCTTAGGATACACCTTTTTTAGTACTTCTTAGCTGTATGTTGCCACTAACTTTAGTACTAATATTTGTTGTTTTGTTTTGAACATTTTTATTGATGTATTTGATTCCCTACAATTTTATTCAATAATATCTTCTTTAGATCTGTGTTTCCTTAGATTTTGCTAAGCTCTATTTCATGTTGCCAATGCATTGTTCACATTTCCAACAATTTAATTTCTTAGTTTTTATTAAATGCTTTCTTTTTCTCTATCATTCTCTTTTAATTTGATTAACGAATTTATATTTTAACTCTAATTATGAGAAGTTTTTGATGTTTTTCTAAAATAATTATTTATGAATTTTTATACAAAAATATACTTTTATTTTTACAATAATCATTTAACCACATGACATCTCATCATTTATTTAACCAACTCTTTCATCAATTGACACTTACCAAATGGTCCAAATCCTACACTTCAAAATAGGAAAAGTTGTCAAGAATTCCCCTTTCTTATTTTAAGTGAAGTGAGTGATATGCTTTTACATCCTCATATGCCATGTGTTCAAAAAAATAGGTTTTTAAGATAACAAAAAGTAAAATAGAAGCGAAGAGAAATGCATTACTATGGTTTAGCAGCTAAGCCTCAAGAATGCAAATATATATATTATTAAGGGGAATTTTTGTGAAAGAAGAAAATATTATAATTGTACTCAAAAGGTCTTTAAACCTCGAAAAAACTAAGGTTTTTCTTGCATATTGCCAGCCCACCTAGAGTTGCTAGTGCGAGGATGCATTTACTTAATGCCTGTAGGAGTGAACTTCAGATATATGGATTTTGGTTTCACTATGATGATTATGGCACACTTAAATTTGTTAGTTACATAAATTGTTAAATTTTTATCTTAATTTAATTATTAAGAATAGTAATTGATATTTGATATTTACTTTGTTTTAAAATAATAATAATTATTTTTATTTTAAATTTATTTTAAATTAATTATTGTTTTTTTAAATAAATAATTTTTCTCTATTTTAAATTTATTATTATTTATTCATTTTAATTAATTATTATATTAGAAAAGTCTTACTTTATTTTTAAATTTTAAAAAAAGATAATATAAATATATAAAAGTAATTTTTAAATCTTTCATTTAGAATAAAAGTAAAAAAATAATTATTATTATAAAATAAAGAAAATTGTAATAGTTAATATTTATTATTTAATAAATTAAAATGAATTTATAAATAAATTCTTTTAAATATTAATTAATTATTTTAAATATATAAATTAATAAAATATCAGTGAAAATGTATAGGTTTAACAAAATTATTACCTGTAACGATAACACAGCCCGATTCATGGTGCATGTCAATGATCATGAATTTCTTCTGCCCTCTCGCTGCACATATTCCCTTTTTTTAAAGCGATTTTTTAAGTACAATTAATTTTTTTTATGTTGATTGTATGATAAGAAGTAATCATCTTTCATTTTTTGTTTTACTTCACTCACATATCATACGATTTAAATTCAAAATTTTTTATTTAAATAAAAAAAATAACAATTAAATTATTTAGATAGTTGGTAAAATATAATTAGTTTAAAAT